CTCCCGCGCCCCTGGCCCGCGCGCCTCTCCGGGCTCCTGCGCGGTGTCCCCAGCCCTGGGATCCCTTGCAGCACTCCGCCACCACGAGCTCTGGGCTCCTCCAGCTCCGGACGCCTGCAGACCCCGCGCGGCGTCCCGAACCCAGAGCCACGGGGCCCCTCTGAGCCGGGCCGCACCCCCCACGGCTCGCCGCAGTCTCCCAAGGTCAAGCCAAGGCCGCCCCCACACCGGGCCGTGGCTTTGCGGTGGGCTCCCAGACACAGCCCCCACCCCAGGGCGCATTTCCAGCGAGTCCCCCCTACAGCGTCTCGTCTTGGGGCGCTGCCCCACGCGGGAGCGGATGAGCCCCCTCCGCCCAGTCTGGCTCTCAGCCCACTGGGTCAGTCTGTCTACGGCCTGGCCTGGCCAGTGGCCACTGTTCTGCACGTTTCCTGTTCCCGTATTCTTCAGAGTTCTGGGCACTCCATCCTGGCCTCTTTCCTTTTTTTCTTTTTTTTTTTTGAGTTGGTGTCTCACTCTGTCGCCCAGACTGGAGGGCAGTGGCCGCTCCCAGCCACCGCACCTCGACCTGCTGGGCTCCGGTGATGGTGATCCTTCCGCTCAGCCTTTCCAGTAGCTGGAACTACAGGCGCGCGCTACCACGCCCGACTAATTTTTGATTTATGGTAGAGATGAGGTCTCGCCAAGTTGCCCAGGTGGGTCTCGAACCCCCGGGCTCAGGCCATCCACTCTCCTCGGCCTCCCAAAGCGCGGGATTACAGGCGGAGCCGCTGAGCCCAGCTCTGGCCACTTTTCTATAACACCCATGATCACGTCTAAAACCAACACTTGAACATTGAACTTAAAATTAGACCAAAACACGCCTTTCGACTGCAGTTTCTCTCGTCTTCACTCTCTTTCCTTCCTCCCCTGGCCAGTTTCTCAGACGAACGTGTGCTTACGTATGCTTTCCTGGGTAGAGACCCTCCATTTCAAAGCATCTTGAAAGCTGACTTCATTTCCCAACTCCAGACCACCTTCTCCTTCCGCATTTCCTCTCTCGAGGATAGTTCTTTTTCGTTGGCATCGTTATCTGAGCCAAAAGCCCAACAGCCTTACATTTTGTCATCTCTCACCCGGTCAGACACTCCAAGTTCAACCTCCTTGGCATTTCTCAAATTAGCTCCTTTCTTTCTAGGGTCTCCTCCTCTTCAAACAATAACAGACACCATTAGTGAAGGGTTAGTGTGTGCCGGTCATTGTGCTGTAATTAACCCACACAATGCCAAAAGGCAAGTCCCATTATCCCCATTTTACAGATGAAAAACCTGAGACTTCGGTGAGTAATTCACCCAGATATAAAACCATTCGCAGAAGACACCGTGATGCTTCAAAGGCACACAGGCCCCGACGACAACCTGCTGCTTCAGTCTAGTCCCATGTTACACACCCAAAAATCTCTCTGAAATCCAAATCTGGTCACGTCACCTTCTTGTTTTAGACATTTCAGCAGGGATTTCGCTTCTGGATAGGATTTAGTAGGTAGTGGCAAGTTGTACGTTCTCACTGTACCAGACAGGGAAAAAAATACAAGTAAATCGCAAACAATATTTTTAAAGCCATCAGAAGGTTGTGGAAGCAAAGATGACCAAAATCACTAAATTCCAGAGATGGTAGAGCCCTCTCTAGATGAGCTGAAGTTGCCAAACACTTCCTTCCCTCCGGGGATTTCTTATGTGTGGGCATTGCTAGAAATACCCGGAGAGACTCTATTATGGGAAAATAAATTGGGAGGAGTTTGGATGGCTGGTGTGGGTTGGGGCGATGAATAGGAATATTAAAAAAGTTCATAGCTTTAGCCGGTATTTCCCACAGGACAATCTCTGAGTCCTAGGGTGGTGGCAGAAACTGTGGATTGGACTGTGATGCAGACACATGTTTCCTGCAGTCCTTCGGTGCTTATGAGATCATATCCCACCAAAAGAAGAGAACTAAAACAGACATTTGAAATCAGAAGTGGACTATGCCTAACTAGGGAGTCCCTCAGGGCTGACCCAGCTCAATCCCTACTTGGATGGAGGTGACCTGCTGCTCACTCTCTCTGCTGACCTAAGGAAACAGTGAATCATCTCTGGGAGGAAATGACGTTAATTTCAGTGCCTATAGGTCTTTTATACTTTGTGTCATATAATAAACAAATTACAGGACTTGCAAAGAAACAGAAAAATGTGAGCAGTAACTAAGCGGGAAAAACAGACATTAGAAGCAGACCCAAGAATCATCCAGATATTGATGTTAGCAGACTAGAACTTTAAAATTATTATTTAAACATTTTTTTAAATTAGTAGCTTGCAAACACTTTTGTAGTCACAATTATATAACAAATATTTTAGATTACAGTGTCCACAGAAACATATACATATGTAGAATTAAAATTACGTTTTCATACAATACTAACCCTTACTACCTAAAATCCACACAACTTTTCTATTTTTCATTCCATGTATAAGAGTAAACATGTTTTTTTAAAAAGAGAGAGAATATGGACAAGAAGGATTTTTTTAAAATTCCATTGAGAACTAGAATCTATATGATAGAGATTCGAGTTGTCTGAAATTGGGAACTGATTAGATGATGTTAAACCCCAGCTTAGAGGACTTGAAAAGTTTAGAAACCACAGATCCCGAACAGCTTGAGATTGGTTCTAATTTTTCTGACTGTTATAAGTGCGGCCTTGCACTTTTCACTAATTATTTCAAACGAGTTACCCTGTGGTGTCCGTATGCCCCTAAGTGTTTCTCAAAGAAACAGGTTGTGCTGCCTGGGCTCCCAGAAGATCCCACATTTGCTGGAAGAATTTTTTGTACAGAAATTATTTTTTAAATTTTTAGAAACTCAGAAGGCTCTAACAGTCTGGAAAATGGAAACTTCTTGTGCATATCTTGCTTCTAACTCTAGGGATTGTTTGCACACATCTTCCAAGTGAAGCTTTCCTGTCCTCTCATCAGATCAGCCCAGCACTGCAGCTGCAGCCTTGAAGATAATGTGCCTTAAGTGGTCTCTATTTATAGTCTGTCACGCAAAAAGAACAAAACCACATTGCCAGATTCTAGTGTAAGGCAGGTGTGCATGGCTCTTTCTCCGGCGTCAGTTCTGAAAATTAGGGTTATTTTGGGGGAGAGGTTCATGACACATGTTCATGACACCCAAGTGAGAAAACTAAAGCATCCCTCCCGTGTACCCCAGCCTGCAGGCTGTCCTCAGAGCACAGATCAGCAGCTGAGCTGAAAGTGTTCACCGGCAAGCATGTGTGGCTTTCCTGTTTCCTACTCTATTGTGCTAATCAGTTGGTTTCATGGAGAGAGGCAATGGAAGTGTAGAAGGCCGAGGACTCACTTTTAGAAAGTGCTGGGAGCTCTGGGATTCGGCAATGCTCCTGCCCTGAGTCTTTGCTGAAGTATTTCTCAGGGTCTAGAAGGAACACAGGTTTGTTCACTCTGGGTAGCTCCTCCAGGTCTCCGAGGCGTAAGGACCCGAAGGTGGCTTCACAACAGCAGGTTTTAGGGGAGGGGAAAAAATTACAATTTCATGAATTCCTCTGAAGGCGCCCACACATTCCCAAGTTAACTGTTTTAAATGCGACCTTCCTGTTCCTCAGCGTGCACAGCTGCAGTGATCAGCAAACCCCACAAACACAGCTGCTCAAAACAAATCCAAGGGCCTTTTCATTCAAAGGGATCAGAAGGAACTCAAGGCGTCCCGTTCATTTATTTTGTATTTTGTATTTTTCTGCTATTTTCCCTTGAAAATGAATATTCTATAGTTTTGGAAAAGCTCCAGTCCCTCTTTTATCTACAAGAAAATTGTATCCTTTGTGAAATAGAATCTGTGGTTTTCAGTGTTCAGTTTAACAAAACCTCTAAAATTCTGACTTCACAGGCCTTTATTCCGTTTTAAAGTAAACCAGAGCAGTGTTATTGTATTTACTATATACACAGCGAGATGATGAAAATCTATTTTAATCATGCTCTCAAAAGCAAAGCCTTGGACAAAGTGAAAAAGTTTTCTCTTTGCTTCATGGGATAATTGGACAACGGAAGGGAAACCTACAAAAGCTTAACACAGGATATGGTTTTATGTTGGGTTGGTTGTGAGTTTTATGGAAGTGGGAACGGGGCTTTGTCATTCTGATGACTCAGTACCTGGGAAAAAGGAAACCCACCCGTGGTCAGCACCAGCTATGGAACAAGCTATGCACTGGGTTAGCAGTTCTCAACCTTCGTAGGTATCCGCGTCACATGGAGGGCTTATGAAAAGACTGCCACGGACCACCCCAGCTTCTGATTTAACAGGAGGCGGCTTGGAGGAGGGCCCCAGAACGAACATGCCCAGTGAGTTCCAGTGGATGCCAATGTGCTAGACCAGGGACCACTCTTTGAGAACCACTGAGAAAAGAAAGGTCAGGCGCGGTGGCTCATGCCTGTCATCCCAGCACGTTGGGAGGCAGTGGTGAGAGGATTGCCTGAACCTAGGGATTTGAGACCAGCCAGGGCACCTTGGTGAGACCTCATCTCTACAACGAACCAAAAAGTTAGCCAGGAGTGGTGGCACATGCCTGTAGTTCCAGCTACTTGGAAGGCTCAGGCAGAAGGATCGTCTGAGCCCAGGAGCTCCAGAGCATGGTAGCCGTGAGTGCGCCACTGCACTCCAGCCTAAGCAACAGAGTAAGACTCCAATTCAAAAAAAAAAGGAGAAGAGATCTTCACAATGTGTAAGGCATCATTCTGCCCATAAGACAATTGAGGAAATGGAAGCTCAGGACATTTTTGTGACTTGTTTGCATTGACACCCCGTGGATGGCAAAACCATGGACTTCAGTTCAACTGTATTTAACTCCAAAGGTTGTGCTCCAAGGTCTAACAACAAGAATAACAATAGAATGAATAATAAACTTGGGTTGGGTTCTATAATGTGCCAGGCTCTGACTCATCAAAGTAATTTACAAATAATGTCTCGCGTCATCCTGACAAAAACTTCATGGAGTAGATTCGTTGATAAATAATTATGCATCTTTTGGCCATAAAGTTTCCCCAGAAATTTTAAAATCAACATATCTGCTCTATGAAAATGCAACATTCCTTCGGACTTAGGTTGAAAAGAAGTCTGTAGCAAGTGAGATATTTTCATTATGGGATGAAGCTTCAGGAATGATTCTCACCTGTGTGTCTAGGTAATGTACTTTAGTTTGATAGTGATTCCTTTGTTTCAGCTCCTTTTTTCAGAATTTTCTTCTGGTTGGTCAACAACTAGACTAAAACATCCTTCTGTGTGGCTGTGGGATTTCTGAGAGCAAAAATGGTTTTTATTTCTCTTCGTTTCTTGAAGGCTTGGGGGAATGAATTAACATTCTGGTGCCCTTGTAGTGGGAAGACAGAAAGATCGTGACACTGAGACTATTATAGGAAGTGGCACTTTATTACGCTGGCTGGCTCGGCGGGCTCGAGGGGCTAATGCTTCCAGGTCGAGCCCCCCAGAAGGGGAGAAGTGGGGTCTTATACCTTCGTTTAGGTAAGGGAGGGGGGTCGTGTTGAGCGATTACACATCTCCTTTGGAATTTACAAGGTGGTGTTCAGAAAAATCAGATCTTTCAAAGAACAAATGGTTTCCAGGAACTGCAGGGTTGTAAACCATCAACTTCAGAAGAGAGGTTTTGGATAAGTCTGAATTAGTTACTCTTTTGCATTTCTATGAGAACCATCAGTCTCTGGCCATTTGGCCTTTTCAAACAAAACTGGCCTGGTGCCTGGCGGGTCTTTAGAGTTTGCCACTTGACTTTTAAAAGGAAATACCTTTAACTGCTACCAACCCCTCTCCTGCCACATCACCCTCTCTGTTTTAGGGACTATCCCGGGCACTTCACAACTGCTTTCTTCACACCTTTGTTGTGAGTATGCTGTGCAGCCTTGGACAAGTCACTTAATGTCTCTGAGCCTCACTTTCCTCCTTTCTAAATGGGGTTCACAGGACCTCACATTCGTGTTTATTGAGGAACAGGAACATTCCTGGCACACAGAGCCCCTATTTGTCTTATTGTAGCGGGAAAAATAGAGAGACCGTGAAACCGAGGCTATTACAGAAGTGGCAACTTTATTACACTGGCAGGTTCGAGGGCTAATGCGTCCAAATCAAGCCCCCCAGAATGGGAGAAGTGGGGTCTTATACCCTTGTTTAGGTAAGGGAGGGGGGTCGTGTTGAGTGATTACACATTTCCTTTGGAATCTTACAAGGTTGTACTCAGCAAAATCAGATTTTTATTTATTTTTATTTTTTTTTTGAGTTGGAATCTCACTCTGTAACCCAGACTGGAGTGCAGTGGCTGCTCCTGGCCACTACAGCCTCGACCTGCAGGGCTCTGGTGATCCTTCCGCCTCAGCCTTCCAAGGAGCTGGAACTACAGGTGCGCGCTACCACACCCAGCAAATTTTTTTGATTTATTGTAGAGATGAGGTCTCTCCAAGTTGCCCAAGCAGGTCTCGAACCCGCGGGCTCAGGCAATCCACTCCCCTCAGTCTCCCAAAGCACAGGATTACAGGCTGAGCCACCCAGCCCAGCTAAAATAAGATTTTTCAAAGAACAAATGGTTTTCAGGAACTGCAGGGTTTTAAACCATTACCTTCAGAAGAGGGGTTTTTTGGATAAGTCTGTGAATTAGTTACTCTTTTGCATGGCCATTTGGCCTTTCTTAAATAAAACCTGCCTGGCACCTGGTGGGTCTTTAAAGCTTGCAGCTTGCCTTTCAAAAGGAAATACCTTTAACTGCTACCAACCCCCTTTCTGCCACATCATTATTCACACCCATCTATAAAATAATAACATTATAAAAACTATGTCAACAGGGATTACTTACTGGATGATTTCCTTACAACTTCTCCATAGTAAAGTTTTTGTGTTTTTTCTCAGAGGGATTTCTTTCCTTATATTTCATACTTATATTTATTTCTTCTGATGGTCTGACACTGAAAGAAAATAATTCATGATGCAATAAAATATTAACACAAGGATAGACAGACTCTGGCTGTAAGTACATGTCTTTGACAAAAACAAACAACAACAAACAAAAAAAAAACCCCACTTTTATTCCTGTGTACATTTGTTTACACTAATCAAACCTTATCTTTGAATAAAACGCCTGCCGGCCAGGTAATGATATAAAAGGGGGAGAGCCAGGGAGGCCAAGAGTCTAATTAAGCGAAGACCCTGTCCCCATAGCAACAAGGTAGAGCAAAATCGATGAAGAAGAAAATTTCACAGAAACACACACCCTGTCCTTGCCCTGTGAATAAATTAGACAGCTGGTGAGAGGTGAGCTTCAAGCCCTCCTCCACCAGGATCAGGCATGGGTCTTTACTTATGACATCCAAAACACAAAAGTGCAGCATTTTTAAGGTTTCTCATATGAATCTATAAGAAAACTTTGGATTAGCTCGAATCCACAGAAAAGGTTTTTATCAGTAAGACACAGGAAGTGAAATCGTTACATAGCTGCATATAATCCCGTCATAAAATAGAAAATAATCTCAAATAGAGTCCACACTCACTGGCATAGACTCCAGCCTTAACAGCTACAAGTTGTGTTGCCAAAAATTGTTGTTAGTATCTTGGGAGCACCAAGCCCAAAAGACACACCCACCTGCTCAAAACTGTGGGGCACCCTGGGATCTTGGTCCCCTCTTCTCTCTGCCTTCCTTCCCTGCATCTGGTAGTCTTTCGTGGGCACCACCTTTCATCCCCTAACTTCTCTCTCCAGTTCTGCTCCCCATTTAGGAGCTGCAGGGCCCCAAGTTGTTTTCTACACCCTCAACCTCGACCTCCCCCTCTGTAGAACGGGATTCTTGCTGCTGGTTTAAAGGAGATTAGATGGATGGAAGTTGAGCAAGGCCTGAGACTCCCAGCAGTCCATAAAGGTTCATTCCCGCCTGCCTTTTCCTCCACTCTGTCCTGACTGTATCTCCCAAACTCAGAAGCGTTTAAAGTATCAATACATGTCGAAAGTCTATGTGTCTCTCTTAAGATTGCTAACAGGTGCCATTTATAATAGCTTCAGCTAAAAATTTATTGATTGCGTTTTTACATGTAAATAGACCTTTCGCCTGAGAAGTCTTTGGCATGCAGAAGGTAATATAGAGTTCTGTCTACCCTCCAGTCTACCAGTTTCCTTGTTTTAAGCATCCTACCTGACCATTTGACCTGACGAGAAAATCACTATCAGCACATGGCTGTTGACTGAACTCCATATTTTGCTAGAACTCTGCTAGCTTTTTCCAAATACTATTTTTCTGTAAGGTCAAGATTACGTTTAGTTGTCCGACAAATATAGTTAGCCCCCTTGGGCCTGTGACACTTCCTCAGACTTTTCTTGTTCGCGATGACCTTGACGCTTTTAAGGGATACTTGCCAGGTTTTTCTGAAGAATACCGCTTCATTTGGGATTTCCTGATGTTTTTCTCCTGGTTGGACTGGGGTAATGGGGAATGAGGAAGACAGAGATGAAGGGCTGTTCTTCTGTCCTGCCGGGGGATGTGCCATCAGCTCGACGCACACGGCTGATGCAGCCTGGACCACCTGGCCAAGGTTGTGTTTGCCGCTTTTGCAGTGATAAGAGTTTACAGCAGTCACTGTGAGGTGACGTTTTCCCTGTTGTCCATCTATTGCTCTCTGGAAGTGAGTTACCAAGCGCACATTCAAGAGGGGGTGAGGAGTGCAGGTCACCTCTATTTCCTTGAGTCACTTGGAATTACAGAGTTTTGTTCTGTTAGGAGAGTTTTGTCATCCAAATGACTGAGGGTAGGCAGATAGCTTTTCCCCAGATCACACTGGAAAGGCCTCTCTCACAATATGCCGCCTCCTACAAAAACGAATAAGCATTGAGCCACTATCTGGACTTTGAAGGCAAGAATGGTGTCTCCTTCGAGAGGCATTTTAAGATAGTCGGGGATCTGCAAAAATAAGAAGTTGGTGGTGGATACTGGAAGGGTGGAGCGGCGTGTGGTTACTGGGTTAAGAATATATTTTCTTTCTAGAAAAGAATGATTGGTGTAAACTAATGGGCAAAAGACCCAGGGAGGCCTACAAGGAAGGAGGTCTGTCTTTTGCCTGGTTAACAACAGACCTTGCTTTTTCTCCAAAACACCTGTTTGTTTTCTGACTCTCTCATCCAGTGGTATTTAAATCAAGTACCTTTTGTCCAAAACATGACTTGGCCCAACCCTGCTAAAGAATTTTATCCACAGAGGGAGAAGAGTGGGCAGAGGGGAAAGAGAATCTCCTGGAAGTCACACCCAATTGTGCGATTTAGATGGCTGCCTGTGAAACATGGCTGCGTTGATAAAGCTTCAAGACAACTGGCAGCTCTCTGCACAGCTGGAATCGACTGGACGTTCAGACCAGCAGCCGGCGCCTCCTTTCCTTGGGCAGACACCTGACACTTGCAGGAGAGGTTACCAGGAAAATGCATGGGGAATGAGCAAGAGGTAAAGGCTCCCAGGAGGAGAAGGGATGGGCGAGTATAGAAAAGCAGAAGAATGTAATGACAGGCTTCAGTCGCGTTTTAAAGCTTTTTGCAAAAATGCCACAGGAGGTGAGGCAGGAAGGGGACCCGCTATGGGCACCGACTTGCTGGGCATTGGCCCTATGGGTCCTACGAGAAGGAAAGGCTCCCACGGGGCCCCTCCTCTTGGCTCTGGCTGTGGGAGGGCCAGAGGGTGACAAATCTCCTGGGCATCAAAAGGAAGAGAAAGTACTTAGCGATGCGGCTTGCACGTAGTAGAGACTTGAAGTAGTTGATGCCTTGATTCAGAGACCAGTACTTTTTCTTTTTTAAGATTTAAAAATATAGTTTATAGCTGGGCACGGTGGCTCACACCCATAATCCCAGCACTTTGGGAGCCTGAGGTGGGAGGATTGCCTGAGCCCATGGGTTCGAGACCAACCTGGGCAATTTGGTGAGACCTCGTCTCTACAATAAATCAAAAAATTAGTGGCCGGGCTCGGTGGTTCAGCCTGTAATCCCACGCTTTGGGAGGCCGAGGTGAGTGGATTGCCTGAGCCCACGGGTTCGAGCCCCGCCTGGGCAACTTGGCAAGACCTCATCTCTACAATAAATCAAAAAATTAGCCAGGCGTGGTAGCGCACACCTGTAGTTCCAGCTCCCTGGAAGGCTGAGGCAGAAGAATCGCCAGAGCCCAGCAGGTCGAGGCTGCAGTGGCCAGGAGCGGTCATTGCACTCCAGCCTGGGTGACAGAGTGACTCCAACTCAAAAATAAAAATAAAAAATAAATAGTTTATTTAAAAGTAGACTACGGAGAGAAAGGGAAGGGAGAGAGAAGATTCACCTCCCCAAGGTGGGGGGAGGGGACCAAAGCCAGGAATTCCTGCATGGCAACGGCCATAGCTCAAAGAGCACATGGCCACACCGGAGTATAGCAAGGCAATGGCCGATCAGTAACTTCTCAATATTTCCACAGGAAACTTGTTGGACAGACAACATAGGCTAGTGGCCAAGCGCTGACTCTGGAGCCAGCAGCCTGCCTCTGGGTCCCTGGTTCATCTCTCACTGGTTGGTTGGCCTTGGGTGCATCCTTGAACTTCTCTCTGCCTTGGTTTCCCAAGCTGTGAAATGGGGATGATAATAGAATCTCTCAAGATTATAGTGAGGATTAAACAAGTTAAACACATAAAGACCTTAGAACAGTGCCTGAAACATGGGAAGAGCTCAACCAGTGTTGACAACTCTCACCGTGAAAACAAGAGTAAGACAACAGTTTTCACTCAAAGCAGGGAGTTCCAAGATGCCCCTACAGCCAGCTCTAATATTCTTAGAATGATCAGACAAAAATTAAGATACGGCATGTCCCCCCGGATAGTCATTTGCTGCTCTAGTGTTTTTGAGGCTTAAGTTTCAAAAATGAAATGGACTGTCATTTGCTTTCATTTGCCATACACGGGCAGAGAATAGCTATTGCCACAGATTGTTGGCAAAAGTGGCCTGTCAGCCCTCCAAGTGTTTTATTTTGTATTAAACCTAATTTCCAATGAGGTTTTAATGTTTTGTTTATTTTTTTCTTACAGCTGTTCATCCATTTACTAATTTAATTTCTCACGTGAAATCTACTGGCAGAATAATTAGGTCATTAGCATCATACAAATAATATTAAATATCAGTTCCCTCCTAACAGTAATATGGAATTCAAAACACCATAATTATTTCACTTGATTAAGAAACATTAATGTGATGCATGTCTTTTGCCTTACATAAACTTACTGGGAAATTTGTGGAAATTCCTGTTTTATTTCTCATCTCATTCTTTTCCCTGGCTTCTAATAATGAATTCCTCCCCCAGAGGCATTTTTTAAAAAACGATAGCCAAAGGGAAATGTGTTATATCATAAAAGGGGGAGTAGACTCACTTTTTGTCCCCCTAGAATAAGAATCAATGAGTGAGAGTTCTACAGATTTGACTTGACAGGAGAGACATTCTTCAACAAAGAGTCATTCAATAATAGAGAAGGCCCTCTGTAGATGATGAAGGAATTATTCAAGAGAGGCTAAGCTGTGCTTCTCTTAAAGATATCATAGGACTCAGTCTAGTGGACTTCTAATAGCACTTTCAACTTTATCATATTGAATTATTAAAGTTGAACAAATGTGGAAAATGTTCACTTTCACAAACAACCCAAAACTCCAACTTACGATACCATGGCCATGGTTTTAAGGCCACGGTAACATCCCTTCTCTGTTCAGAGGCAGGAAAGCAGCCCTTTCCCTTTGTGGGGGAAGTGCACATCTCCAGACAGCAGGAGGACCTCCAGCAAGATGATCCCGAGGCCTCCAAGCCAATCAACTCCAATTCCACCTCAAATAATTTATTCTAATGAACTCACTGGTTGTTCTAACACGTGCACACGAAGGTATTCAAAGTAATGTTTTCTTAGCTAAAATGTGTAAATGGTCTACATA